TGAGCGATGCAAAGTCCTGCTTCAAGCTTCCACCTGCTGCGGTTGATGCTGCTGATTGTCGAGACGCTATTCTCCTGAGCTCTTCTTGCTCGTGTCCGGACAACGTGCTGGTGGAATCATGGTGTTCTTTTTCCTCATTGCCAGGCCCCTCAGGAGCATGTGCTGTAAGCATGCTGATCGATGTAAAAGATGCAACAAGTGTGAAGAGAAGATAGCCGAGGGTGCTCAGCGGACTTTGAACACATAAATAAAAAGGCTTGTCATGATGGTTGAGGTATCGCGGCGCCAACGATCCTCCTCTGAATATATTGTATCACTAATCATTGTTCGGTAACGAGACATGTCTGAAATCGGGATCTCCTCTTCCGAAGAGCGAAATACAAAGAAAGTAATAGTAATATCCCGTGTCTGCGGTAGCCTGCCCACCCAAATGGTGCTTTGATTTCGTCGGGCTCCCGAACTTGCTGTCGCAACGGAGTTGGAATCGAGAGCCGAAGGTATGGGCCCACCCGACCTTCGAAAGCCGATATCATGTGACCTCGTATAGTGTACCGTCATCGGACTTCGTGCCATATTATCTTCGATTTACTAACACAACTTTCATAATGGCCCACTTATTCCATAGCAAGTGGGAAACTGCCCCCCTATTCTCACATTCTTAGTGAGGTGTATGCGGAGAACATTTTCACAATATTACTACAGTGCAATGATAGTATTGTGTCTTGTCACGGTCGAGAGATTTATATATATATTATCCTCTTAGTAATTTCAATGAGTAGCTATTGATTCGCTTTTATTGAGTACCAATATGTTCAAAATAAAACAGAAGTTTCTCTCGGGGTATCTCGGCGTTTTCTGGCGCATCACTAGATGATCAAGACCCGCGCTGGCGGATCTAGAATCCACCCAGGCAAATATTGTACTACTAGTATAATTCACCCGTCCATTCAAAATCAACTTATCTATCGTCATTTATTAGTCACTTCAATCCCTATTGACAGTTTCATGATTGATACAAAGGCTACGACGACACGTAAGGACCTCTGGTCTATCATTTAACCAGACTTACAGTTCGACTACACACTACATATAAGGTTTTGGGCCTAAGCTTTTAACAAATCCATCGTCTGCAATTTGCGCCGAAGTGGGAAGCCTCTTCGATTCAATGACAGCCTGTCACTAATACATGCACTGCTCAACATTCTCATCCTCAGCAGTTGGGATATGGCAGAGAAAGCGGTAGTTTCATGCAATCCACTAGCCCTTGCCATTCCTTACAACTGTATGCCGCGGGAGTTCACTCATAGGCGGCAATTGCACTAGAGAAAGCAGCGTCAATTGAGGCCAGAGTCGAGGCGATTGTCGAAGCATCCGTCGTGGTGGCCTTCGCCTCCAGGTCCGCCCCCAGCTCGTCCGTGTCGGTCTTGAGCGTCTCCAGGGAGGAGAGCAAAGTGGAAGTGACTCCCGCAGATGCCGCAGTGGACTCCTACAAGTGCACATTAGCCCTGCAACAACAAGTCACAGAAACCTCGCCGACTTTATGGAACATACCTTCGAGATAAGCTCATCCAAGGTTGCGATGATAATTGTGGCTAGAGAAGTTACTTCAGATGTGATACTGGAACTCTCCGAAGTGGTGAATGCAGAAGCAGCCTCGGTATCAGTGATGGCTGTCTCCAAAGCACTTTTGACAGTGTTGTAATCGGACAAAATGCCTAGCGCTGCCAAAAGGTCTCCGGTCCAGTTGGTTACGTCCGTCTTGAGAGTAGTAACATCTGTTCCAATAGTCTCAAGATCAGACAGTACGGTCGCAGCATCGCGTTTAGCGATAGGGCCTGCTTGAGCGAGACCAAGACCGAATGCGACGACGAGGAAGGAATTGCAAATCATGATGGAGAGAGATGGTAAGACAGATGGGTGTTGTCTTAAGTGAACTTGTTGATTTCGTGTCACAATGTCAGGCAATGTGGGCCTTTATATAGCTCCAGGAAATGGTATTGCTGTCCCTCACGCTCCTTTCAACGCGGGGGTGATGCACCACTAATACAAAATAGCCACGGATGCTTGTGTCGCTATTCCAACCCACGATGTCACAATTTCGGCCACAGGGTCGCAATCGGTCCAACCGCCCTTGACCCTGCTGTTGTTGTACGGCATTCCTCACATGTCAACCTCGGGATCATGTTCAGGATGTCCTGTCTTCAGGGACGCAGCGCTTGTGGCTGACCGCAGGAGAGGTCATACGTCCCTGCACAGTCTTCTGGTCGGACTGGGCTGGAACTCCGCTTTGGCCCGCAAGAGCTCATACCATCCATAACTGTCCCTATTATGGTAAGAAACGGGGATGTAGTTAACTGATCCTATTTGCGTGATGTATTCACTCAACAATCACTCACTGAAGCATTGGAGGAAGCCCTGATCCTTATGACACAAGATTACTGGTCTGAACTTGGTTGACCTTGGCTACCCCAGATTCCACGAGGATTGCTTCGAAGTCTGGGCTGACAAGCAAACTGTTAACCCCGCTCGCGCGCTGGCGTGCTAGTTGTGTGCAACCTACTCCAAATATCCCCGCTTAATCTACTCCATGGCTGTGATTGGCGGGGGCTGTTTGTGGCGGCGGAGGAGCGACGGAGCGCACCAACCATCATGAACCGGCCACACATCTGGCAGATCTATTGAACATGCTCCGCGTCGAATTCCACAATGATGGTAGTAGGCTGCAGTGAAATGCGGGATGGTAATCCACACACTAACTCGCCGATTTTCTTCACGTCTGAGCGTATGCAAATCAGCAGGTGCAAACAGATCTGAGGACAGTCAGTTGGTAGATTCTTGGAATATTGCAGTGGTTTATCATGTTTTCCCTAGCAAAAACGGGACCTGATTCTAGTAGATAGGAAGTTGTAGAGTTGTAATAAGGCCTTTGCAACGAGCCTTTATTACCTTGCTTGTAGCACATCCCAAAGACAGTCGCAAGAGATATGTCATTTGTGCTTCCAGGAGGCCTGGTAGGTATTAACATATCCTTTAGGACGATACTTTTCCGGTAGTTCCTGTTGTGAGGATCTCAACCCACCAATCAATCCGGATTGAGTCATTATAGACGCTAGTCATTTCTGAACCCTTTAAATATATTGTTTAGCTCGATATCAAAGAAAGACATCTCAAATATTAAACCCCTCGACAAAATTTTGCTGCTAGGCTAATGATCCAACCCTGTTAAAAACCTTCAAGGGAGTGGGCATATTCAAGACCATCTGCGCCTCCTTAATAACATCCATCCGCACAATAGTCGAGACGCCCAGCTCGTTGAGGAGTTGACTCAACGGACCTTCGTTCCGAGCGAGATTGACATTGGTGGGGAAAAGACACTGTGTCGCCAACAGGGGGTTCGTCTGAACGGCCACCTGGTACCATTTCCCGTCGATCTTGTTCACCGCGTTATTAATCCCAATTCGTGATTCTGACGGAATGGTCCTCAACGCTGGAAGGGGTACATTCAGTGTCAGATCCGGTGTTCCGTTGGTCGCGCTGATATCGGCCTTGATGTTGTGATCGTCCATGTTCAGGTTAATGTTGGCCATCCACTTAGGCAGTTGATATCCATATATTCCCCTCACCCGAGCAATCTCGGTATCGACTGGAAGAGCCAAGACATAGCCGTAGAATGTTCGGTTCCATATAGAGCTGAGAAGTTGTGTGGAACTGTAACTCGTGCTACCAGGTTGTCGAATGATGATGGCGATCGAGACCTCGTTGTAAGGATCATTATCGCAGACCAGATACGAATAAAATGTCAATGCAACTAAAACGTAACCAGGCAATGCTATGATGGGCTCCAAAGGCGACGGAAGCTTAGACTTCAAGTGGTCAAGAGGCGCGAGCATGACGAGCTGAACGCTGCTAGTGCGATAGTAGAAATTGGGTGCATATACTTGACCGACCCTCGAATCAACCAGCTTCTTAGGGATTTTCCGCAAGAATGTGATATCGTGTCCGATATTCGGGTCCTGGGCTACCTCATCGAGGTTCGGGTTCATACGGTAGCGGTCATAGTAACCTCCTTTGGGTATATCGACCTTCTGACCTCCGAATTCGACCTGAACAGTTTGTGATGCCGAACGTCTACCCTCAAATAGGAGTCATTACTGCTTCGGAAAAAGGGATGTTTGATTCACATACGTTGTGGTGAATTTTTCTGATGCTGCTGAAAAGCGGTCTGATGTCGAAGACATGATGTTACTGGTAGGGTATGTCGAACGCTAGACCAGGATCTGATGATTTCAATACTCGGCGCTGGATGATGCAGGTGACTACAGGGTTGATATATGCCTTGAGATCCCTCCTCGCCCCTCTATGGCCATCTCGGAGATCGGTTGTGGTTGGACTTGCGATGATAAAGCTAGCATGTGAAGAGCACTGAGGCGGACGATGGGTAAAATCAAGCAAAATACTACCGAGGCCCGATATCAACGTGGATCGGAGTTTGATAGTTCCCATAAGCACGACAACGGAGCAACCTCATGCCGGTGGCACATATGAAGGGACTTTCTGGGTACTGGTTATTCATTTGTCATGGCATGGAAACAGGAAGAAGACTAGTAGGCTAACGTTCTAGGCAACTCTGTCTTGGCGGAAAGAACGGCTGGATCCTCAACAGGCCCACTATATAAGCTTTCGCATTTCGGCAGGTAGAGACTAGACACCTTGAATCTTGGTGAGAAAAGAGGGAGCGGGCGGACAAACCTAATATCCATGGAACGCATTGCAGTGAGTGTGACATTGGAAAGCCACAATAGCCTAGTAACGTCATGACGACGTACCGGAGGAAGTTACAGCTCACCAATTCTAGGCCAGCATAGCTGGGCAGCTGATTTTATAAAGCTGCGAATTTGCACACACACAATCCATCGTGTCAATTCATAAGAGTCAGATAGTTTCAGACATTGAACGTCTGTCCGAATTGCCTATTATTACTCCCATTACTTCTCACAAACATGCCGCACCTGAAGCTTCGTGATGGAGCAGAACTCTTCTACAAGGATTGGGGAAATCCCAGAGGACCAATCGTAACCTTCTCCCACGGCTGGCCCTTGAGCAGTGACAACTGGGAACAACAAATGATGTACCTCGGTGAACATGGTTACAGGGTTATTGCACACGATCGCCGTGGCCATGGACGATCAACTCAGACCTGGGACGGAAACAACATGGACACCTTTGTCGACGACTTAGAGGAACTTTTCGCGCATCTCAAGGTGCAAGATGCGGTCATGGTTGGCCATTCTCATGGAGGAGGAGAGGTCACCCATTATCTTAGAAAACACGGCACTAAGCGCTTCAAAAAGGCTGTTTTAGTCGGCGCCGTACCTCCTCTGATGGTGAAGAGTAGCGGCAACCCGGAAGGAACAGATAAGTCGGTTTTCGATTCTTTCCGGCAGGCCATGCGTCAAGACCGCGCGCAGTTCTTTTTGGATGTTCCCAGCGGACCATTCTTCGGTTTCAACCGACCTGGAGCAAAGAAAAGCGAAGGACAGATTCGTAGCTGGTGGCAGCAGGGGATGAACACCAGCTTCAAGTCCGCGTATGACTCGATCAAGGATTTTTCTGAAACGGACTTCTCGGAAGATCTGAAGAGAATCAATATACCAGTACTGGTTCTACATGGGGACGACGATCAGGTGGTTCCCATTGAGGCAGCGGGACTGAAGTCAGCAAAACTTCTTCCCCAAGGAAAACTGAAGATTTACAAAGGCGGATCCCATGCCATTCACAATATTAATGTTGATGAAGTCAATCAAGACCTGCTTGACTTTATTAAATCCTAAGTTCAATGGCTTTGGTATGTGATACTTTGGGATAATGTGTTTTTCATGTGCCAATCTAGCTTCTTGAAAACGCTGGCTCTATCAAAGAGACCATTGATACCATTCTACATTGGCATATGAAGCTACCATTGGCTAGCTCGCGAAGGGTACACTATTAACGCATTTCAGAATATATATTTCAGAGTAACTTTAAATTATGTTGTTTTTTCATCTTTTTTCCTTCGATAGGGTGCGGTAGTTTCGATATGTTCATTAGTCCTGGAGGAGAAACGAAGGCAGGGTGGATCCAGCAAAATACTCCCGACGACATAGACGATTACTAAAGCGTAAGCAACCCCAAGGAAACAAACATGGCCTGGCCTGTGCAGTTGTAGAATCTACCAGACAAAACGGTATACGGGATCGTGACTTCCGAATTTAGACTTTACCTCTGACATTATAATCAGCTTCGCCACTGGCAGACACGCATTATGTGAGCGACGGGAACTATACTTCGGATATCTCATAGTGTGCGGGTCCAGTGGGCATGCGGGTACATCACCTTGGTACCGCAGTGGGCTTAACCGCATTGAGGCAGGCTTGCGAGTCCACTTGGACCCTTTTCCAACTCTCGTAATGACGACTGGACATGGGAATAGCCTTTCCATGTCATTTGGAACGATTGTTGCTCCGTCGTGAATCTTCCTGAGAACCGTTCAAAAGGAACCTATAATCATATATTGCCTCGGTCGCCGTCTTCATTGCGCACTATTTGTACACTCAGTACGCAGTTTAAACTGCCTTTACTTCATCCCCTTTCCTTCTGCCATTTACTGTTACATTTCCACTAATACTCAATATGGAAATGTTGTCACTAAATATATCAACCTACTCGAAACCATCCGAGTATCAGGTCTCGAAATTGCCCACTCCAACTCTAGTCAACTCAAAAGATGTGATAGTCAAGGTATACGCCGCTAGCATCAATCCTATTGACGTCAAGAGAGCCGATGGCGCTTTGAAGCTCGCTGTGAAAGACCCGTGAGTATAAGCTTTTGCCATCAATCAAGATGGTGTTAATACAGTCAGCTTTCCCTACAAAATCGGCTACGATTGTGCCGGCGTCGTTCAAGAAACTGGGCGAGACGTGAAAAAGTTCAAGGTCGGAGACGCTGTGTATATTAGACTTCCTGAAGTTTCCCGGGGTAAGTGTCTGGTACTCGATGTTTCTATGGCTCGACTTACTGAAAGCGAAACACAGGATCATGCAGTGAATTTATAAGATGTTCTGAGGAACATATTGGTCTCAAACCGCCATCGCTGTCTTTTGAGGAAGCAGCTTCAATTCCATTAGCCGCAATGACCGCCCTCCAGGCTCTTCGCCTATATCGTGGCGACCTTGCCGGAAAAACTGTCTTTGTGCCTGCCGGATGTTCGACGCCCTATCAATCTCATAGACTGCTCAATAGGCTAATCAAATACAGTGAGCGGTACCGGCTTGTTTGCATGTCAACTTGCCAAGCATGTATTCCGTGCGGGTAAGGTCATCACTACAGTCTCGACTGCGAAAATCCCGAAATTAAAAGAACTCCTGGGCGAAAACACTATTGACCAGGGTAAGATCCCAGATCTGGCTACCATTTCGGTATTGTTCTCTAAAATGTCTTTAGTTATCGACTATACGAATTCCGACCCCAGGGATGTGATTGAACATGGAACAATCGACTTTCTCTTTGACACCGTTGGCCTTTCTATGGAGCTATTGTGTCTGATGCGGCCAGGATCGAGCCGTATTGTATCAGTCTCTACTCTACCTTCTGGAAATCAGCTACAGGATTCACCTCTCATGGCCCTGCCTCACAAGCCCACTATTCCGTTCGCCTTTCGGATGGGACTCAATCTCGCTGATCAGGTTCGAAAGGTCAGAGCACGCCGTTATAAGACAGAGTACTCCTACATGTTTCTCGTATCGTCTGGTAAGAACTTGGATGAACTGACGCGGTATGTCGAAGATGGGAGACTCAAAACAGTGGTGGGATCAGTCGTCGACTTGCAAGACATTGAAGCCGTGAGAAAGGCTTGTGGGACTGTTTACAGCGGTCGGGGAGGATTGGGGAAGCTGGTAATCCGCGTTCGAGGCTCCGAGTAGCGACCTTTCATCTTTTGTCGTCTCGACGGGGCTTTTTATGGGGGTAGGCGGCATGCGGCCTTTCAGACGATGCACAACGCTTCGCCTCAATGTTATAATAGACTTAGTAATTTTTATTGTTCCTGCCATAAGGTGGCTTGGATGTGTTAGGGACTTGGCAGAGTCAAGCTTCAGTCCGATTGCATACCTACAAATTGTGCAACACATTAGCAGTGCTTTTGTACAGTCCCTTGCTCGCCCGATCAAGTCCGATCTAGGGGTCTCTGGTCGCAAACCGACGAAACACCTCGACACCCCCGGCCACGACTACAGTAACAGCTTCTGTAATACCATAAGCGAGTCTTCTGCTGTGCGGCATTATCACTCGGAGCAATTCGGAGGAAGTAATTTCGAAGTTTAGGATGTAGAACGTGGTTTCTTGTTTTTGTGGCCATGCGGTGGTATATTCTGTGGAAGATTAGTTGCGGGATACGTCTTGCGGCGAACTTTGACTTGCCATTTCATTTTCGAAGGAAACACCAAGACAATGGTATTAATCCAGCTCTGGAATTTACTACCAGGAAGCTTTTTTCTTTTTTTCTCTCTTTTTTTTTTCCTTTTTTGTTCGAACTGCTCAGCCGGACTTCGAATCGAGAGCCGAAGCGCATGTGGGTCAATTTTCGAAAGCCGGTGTCACGTGATAAGGGCTCCCGGGCTGGCCATCTTTGGCTCCGAGTGCCGTCGAGTGGTGCCATCATCGGTGTTCGTCCTGCAACTTCCGTAACCCGAGGCGCAACAATGACCGACAGGCTTCAACCCCGCGTTGCTAAGTCTTGCGACAATTGCAAGGCAAGGAAGACTCGCTGCATACGTGAGTCCAGCTTTATCCCCGCATGCTAGTTCTTTACACAAATTTATTCCCCTTATGTCACATACCTGTCTCCAGTAGACGATCGTAGCCTGGGCGGCCGACTAATCCTGCGCGGTAGGCCCTTCAAGCAGCGCAGTCTGCACCCCTTGCCAGGTGGGTTCATCGGTGTGCTCAGGTTTTCAAAAAATGTGATCAATTTGACGCTGATGAACCTTGAGGTTTGATAGAAACGCAAAGTTGAGTGTCACTATAGCCTGACACGCAGACAATTGAGGCCAAAGAAGTCAGAAGACATCTTAAGTCCAGGTACATGACATGATTAGTCGAGGGCTCATTTTCGGAGCTGATATATATATATGGGTAGCAACTGTACCTCCATCGAATTATAATGTCTCCTCAGCTGCATCTGTGTCCACGGATGCCTCGGCATCTTATGTTGACCAAATTCTCGTCGACAAGAATGCAGATGGCAGGAACCGCGAGGCATGCTCCATGTTCAAGGTGAGGTGCTTCTGCTTCTGCTTCTGTTTCCGTACATAGCTAATGTGCGCAGGCTCGTGAAAACCAAGGTAATCAGTCCTCTACTCCCATTTTCATAGTCCCCGCTCACTTCTGGCTCAGTCCTCAGTACTGGCATGGCCTTTTTTTCGGAGAGCCACATCCACTCCCTGACAAATATGCTGGGCCACGGCAGATTAAGAGATGTACTCGATGCTATGGGAGAAGCTATGCATCAGCATGCACATGGAATCAGCATCGATTTCAGCACCCCCGCATCACCAGGTCAGATTTCCCATGAGGAGGCGGCTCATTATATCACAGGTCAGATGCTCGTCTGTGTTGGTGTGAGCCAAAATTCTAACGCGTAGTCCCAGTTTATTTTGATGACTTACATCCCTTGACACCCTTTCTGGACCGAGCCGACTTTGAGCGGAGAATCGCGGGGCCAGAATTACCGGAGTTGTTGGCAAACAATGCTCCATTCTGTGCGCTATATCATACTTTGCTGGCACTTGGATGCCAGTATATGGATGGTGGATCTTTCGTTCCAGGCAAAGGGAAAGCATGGAATTACTTTCAGGTTGCATTGAGCCTGTTCCCAAGAATACTTGCTCCACCTCAAACTTTGCTTCACGTCCAAGTGCGTATTCTTCACCCTATTCTGGATTCAAGCTGACAGCCCAACCAGGCACTGGCAGCCATGGTGAGCCGAGAAGGTAATGCAAACATCATTCATTTCGCTGAACAAATCATAGGCAGTCTTCACAATGAGCTTCTCCTGTATTCCGATCGGCGAGACCTTGATGTCCGAGGCCGCAAGAATAGTTCAATTGCTGGGATACAACGCCGCATACGTTCAAACAGAGAACGAAACATTGTGTCACAGAGCTTTCTGGGTTATATATTGGCTGGAGAAAGTTACTTCCTTTTTCCGAGGCCGTGGTTCTGTAAGAGTACTTACATTCCGAAGTCTTCTTGACTAATGGCAGTTATAGATGATACCCGACTACGACATAGGCTGTCCTGTTCCAGCATGTTCCGACACTGCCCCGGGAGAGCTTGATTGGCTATTAACGACAGCGCGCCTAGGTCGCCTGATGTCTCGCACTTACGAATGTCTCTTTTCCGTGAGTGCGGTCCAGATGCATACAGCTGCCCGCATCGCCGCTGTGGACTCGATGTCTCGCGAGCTAGAAGCTTGGATTCAAACTCTCCCCGAACCCTATCAGCCCGGGACCCCACTTCGCTTCTCAAAGGGCAAGAGCCCCTCCGCGCAAGATATGGCGCTGCAAATACGGTTCATATACTATGCTTTGGTTATGTCTATGTGCCGGCTTCGGATCCATCTTACAAGCGACCAAACGAATGAGACAAATCAAGAGACCAAGCGTCAACTGATGGAGACCGCTCGAGCTGTTATATACCATACACGTTACATTGAGCATGAGGCGCACGTTCCAGCCTGGTAAGTCATAGCGTCCGGGTCCATGTTCTCACAAATCCTAATTGTAAGGAACAGGCAACTAGGCATCGTGCCTGTTTCCGCTCTTTTCATTATCTTTGACTTTGTGATTCATAACCCATTTCACAAAGAGACGGCCACCAATATCTCGTTCCTGGACATAGCAGCCGGTTATTTCAGCCGTTGGGAAATCAGTAACAGAGACTCTTTACCGGCATCAACTGCTGCTGAATTTTCTCACATTGCTCGTCAATTTGTGCGGGATGTACAAGCCAGGTTGCAGACCACAGATTCACGAAGGTCTTCACGCCCAGAGGCAGATAATTCAGTACCAACGACAGGCGAGAAGAACTACTCCTCCGGATTCGCTGTCGATCCTAGCCAGGTAACGGTATGTTTCCATGATGCTCTCCTTCCGCGCCACTCGCTGACTTGACTGCGATACAGAATGAAGACTCTCTCATTCTCCCGGACATCGAAGGTTTTTCGGGCACTGGACCAGACCAACTATTTTATCCTGAAGACCCGCTTCAAACATTATTTGGAACGTACATGCCGCCTACGACCGACATATCTAACATGTTCAACTCGACTTTGTGGAATCCATGACCATTGTAAGACTAGTGTTCAAGCAATCAGGTAAACTTACTAAATCGCATACTCAATAATATATATTTCGACCGAGGGGCAGACCCAACAATTCGTAATTCGACTATATCGATAGTGTAGGCAAGTGAGATCGACATTTCTGTCTAGGCCTCAAACATAGTAGTATATTAGCTTTAGCCAAAGTCCAGCATCTTCCAATTAGTCCTGATGTGGCGACCCAATTCGTGACCTACATCTGAGCTGATAGCAACACGGACGATCCACAGGGATAAAGTGGAGACGCGGCGTCCGGCATTCGGGTTTCGGAACTCGCCTCCAATATGTGGACCCTAATTATCTACTAGCTTAGCTCACGGTCATCTGTAGTCCGACAAGTGGACTTGATTTCATACAGTACCCGAACAAGAAATCATTCATGACCTAGCCTTATAAAACGGCGTGTACGATAGTACCCTGTGTTCCATTAGGCTTAGGACTACAAAGTCAATGTCACGGTCTGTAAGCTACATATTGACAGTATAATAACATATGGTACATTGCCAATATGTCACGAAGTATAAATCTGCTATATTACAAGAACGAAATCCAATCACCCCCTGAAGAAAACTCTCGGCCCCAGGCCCCGGTGAACGTAACCCCTCAGCGGTATCGGGTGTTCACGAATCAAGCTAAGGCTTATTTCTGCATCATGCTCTCAACCCAAGTAGCAGCGACCTTGTCCCAGATAGTGGCATAAGCCATATGAGCGGAGAGATTAGTTCCGGCAGCATCGCAAACGCCATCTTTGTCGTCGCAGTAGTCGTGGAGTCTGTCGGCGTATTTGGAGAGGGCTGCAAGTTGCTCGGCAGTACGGGGGTATTTCTGATGCGAGTGGAATGTTAGCCAAGCAGCCAATCCAGCTGTTTCATGGTGAATTGGTTATAACGTACGCCAGTAGCAGACACATCCCCGACGTTGTACGTCTGGTTGGGCATGTGACGGGGGTCTCCGTAGAGAAGGACAGCGGCGACTAATAATATTAGCATAAATCTTGTTGATGTACATCCAGGTTAGTCACTTACTATGGGATCCGGTTTCAGGATCAACAGCAGGAGCAGTGATATTTCCCAAAGTTCCGTTATCACCGCCACCGGCCAGCATGTCGCTCACAACCATGGCTCCCTACACGAGCGTCAGTAAGATACCCTTTAAAAACGCAAGCCGGGGGACAAGAAGGTACCTGAGAATATCCGAAGAGTACCACCTTGGTTTCCGGACAAGCCCCGACATAAGCCTTCAGCTGAGCAGTGCCATTGTAGATGCCCTCCTCATAGCTGGGGGTCGATCCTTCCTGGGTTGCAGGATAGATGATATTCTCGTAATCGCTGTCCGGAATAGCATCCATGACCAAGTCGGTCAATGACCCGAGCAGGCCAGGGTAGCTTTCGGTAGTTCCGCGGGCAAGCATCATGTGCACCTTTGCACAAGGGGCTTTTCCATTCGCGTGCGCAGTGGAGGCACTGGCGAGAGCAGAGGAGAGCAGAGCTGCGGTGACGATGTTTTTGAACATGGCGGCGGGTGAAAATTTTTAGTCGACGAGAAACAAGACAATTGGGTGTAGGATATTTTGAATGAAAAGCTAGAGGGTAGATGGGAGTTTATATAGCTTCCCTGGTCTCCATTCGCGTATTGCTACAAGCGGACTGATTAGATATGTCAACAGGGTGTCAGAGAAATATGGGCTGATTGTTACAGCTATCTTGAAGGTGAAGTCCAGACCTTGCGGTGAGTACTGAAATTTCCCTCCTCTGAAGAGATACTGCTCAGCCAAATTCATGCTCGAACTCATTGTCAGATTGGAGACTGCAGTTCTTCAGCAGGGCATCTGGACCTTAGCGCGTCAAGAATTGATGAGAGAACGCGTCAGCAAGTGCTGATCACATCCGCAATGATGCAGAGGGGCTGCTAGGTAGTCAAAGAAATAGAGTTGTAAAAAATGTACCGTGGGTTCAGGGCCTCCAACTATGTGTCATGGTTCGGGGCTAATCTCCAACCCTGGATGTCGGACTTTGCTGGTTCTCCACTTTCGTTTAAGCTTCGTCCGGGAAAGGGCCCAGGTCCACACCACACACCATGATCATGTCCTTTCAATTATCAGTAGCAAAAATGCGGACACAAATCAACTTACAATATTATGTAAATGATGTTTGAATTTCGACTGTAAATAGGTGGCTTTCACCACAGTCTATGGGCATCTCTAGTATCCAAACGCCATGTAGAATACTAGGGCCATCATCTGTTACAACCACAACAGCACAGCCACACAGTTATCAGTGGAGTATCGACCCGAAATTTTTCCGGGTGGGGGGAGATGATAACCCATGACTTAATCTAACCCTGTATCACATAAGCTTTCCACTGACTAAAGTTAAGCTAAGTAACTAAATATGGGGAGAGGGGATAGATCAAGATTGCGTGTTCACAAGGTGGGGAAACCAATTCATAAGAAGCAGTGGCCGGTGGCACCTATTCTACAGGTACTCTATGGACATGCAGTTTTTTTCTTTTGTGGGGGGTGCCATGTGTTTTGAGCCGTGGCAAAAGCATACTAGCGTTTATTTTCCCTGAAAGTCTGCCACTGCAGCTTAGAGTGGGGTCACTAAACATTCAAGCGTGGACCGGTCTACTAAAGGTGGTCCCTGTAGAGCAGAGATGGCTGCCTAAGATTGCGGTCGAGCATCGCTCCAGGTTGCAGTTCCTAAGATACCGTGTAGAACAGGCCAAAGTAGGTGCAATTACTCGCATCTAATAGTTGGGCAAAATGGTTCTAGCAGAGCCACGTAGTAGGCTACCCTTCATATGCACAAGCTGGTTCAATAAGAGAATTAATGATAAGAGGAATGTGATAGATGCTAGGTGATTCTGAAGGCTCGGTCCTTTTCCGCTGCTACGCTTCATTTTTTTGGCGTCAGGCAATATATCGATTCGCACAAGTTCAGTAATAAGCTCTGAGGAATACCAGCAGGAGATGATTCTAGTCAGCATGAGCTAGTGTGGTGTCGAATAAATTGCAGATGGTTTTATCCGTCCAGTCAAGGGATACGGATATCGTACCTCCGAAAGCTAGTGGACATTGCATGGAATAGCCCTGAGTAAGACGGATCAGATAGGAACACGGCAATTGTCATCCCAACGCGAGCTCAGTATATAAGGACCCACCCACTAGCTCTCTAGGGATACTCATCCCTATCAGCATCAGCTAGCTGCCAATCCTGAAAATACCAACGTTCATCATGTTGTCCTGGACTGTGAAAGCCATCACCTCAATGCGCTCCTCGGCCGCACTTCTCAATAGCACGGACTGCGCTGATATCCACTTCAGCTGGCCCGCGGTAGATCTTGAGGTCGCCTTGGTACGACTATTCAATGGCAGAATTGGTTGCCGAGAACACAATTTTGAGCACGAAATACAAGGAATCATCTACCGCCCCGTTAGCGAAACGGGATCGATTAGGTATTTCGTTGGCTGGGCTGCAGTGGGTAGCCATGTGGATAGATATCCAGCGGACTCTCCTGATTTGAGAATTGTTCTAATCTTCAACTCCGAGAGTGCTATCATTCTGGAAGCCTTCGGGGTGGAGGCGGTATAGGCTGAGTTAGATTTGACTATGACTAAAGCCATTATATACAATTCGCTATCAGTAATTCGGCGCTATATTCTCATCAATGCCAACGAAAGCGTGCTTTTTGCACACGGAGTATGCCCTGAGTAGGTTGGATCTAACCAAGCAGTCATCGAATGATTGATTCCGGATCTGTGGACGAAGTCTCCAGTTCTCATTGTCCGGTATAAACTTTGACTTTCTCGGAAAGATATTCAGCGATCGTAATGATCTTTTCTTCCTCCAACCGCCTGCCGAATAACTGTAGTCCAATGGGTGCTCCGTGGTAGATTTCCGGATCGTCTAATAAGGTCAGAATTCGCTTCAGAAGTGTGTGAAAATGCCTACTTACAATCTTCATATATCTTCCGATCCAATTCACTCAGATACTCTGACCGTTCGGCCATGGACGAAAGACATTTGTCAGCACAGCATATAGGGACTACCAAGCTCGTATAATCCAGAGTGTTGATGAACGTAGTATATCCGGTATGACGGTACTTTCCTGGAATAACAGCTGCATGAGGTGCGGTTGGGCAGATGACAGCATCAACTGGCCTTCCTGTGGTAGTCAACTTGGCCGTGCTGTTCCAGTAGTCCATATATTTCTTCTGGTAATCCCTTTTCCGCACGTTGAGTTCCGCTACCTCCCGGGCGTTGAAGGGTTTGACTGGTTCAACGGAGCACTGAGGAATCTGTTCCTCTCCTGACAAGGCAATGTGACTCAGAAGGTCTTCGCCACCGTCCATATCGTAGATTTCGCTCTGCGGAGAATCAGCACACTGCTCTAACTATGCATCCCAGATTTCGACATACCGCAATTTTTTGGCCTTCGCGACACAAATCAGGGTCCCATTCTATGACCTAATACGCGTGTTAGATCAGTACAGCAATAAGGTTCTTCATCTCTGATTACCTGGTGGCCCGAGTCCTTCAAAATGCGTTCCATAAAGTCCATAGCCACCTTCACCGGCGGCTGAGGTTCGACACGTCCATCATGCCGCATGATACCAAAGGTGAGTTGAGAAGATGTACTATCCTTCTTTGAAATCAACTTCTTCGTTTGATCCTCAACATCATCTCTCCATGGTAATGGCAAAGAGAGAGGGTCGTGCTGCCATGGCTCCTGGGAGAGGATGGCTTTGAAAAGTAACCTCAATCCTCCAATACTTGTCGCCAACGGTCCAATAACCGACAAAATGGTGTTTTGGCCGTCAATGGAGTTCGCTGCGCCTTCATACGGAATTCTTCCCGCAGAAGGGCGCAGCCCAAAAATTCCGTTAAAAGAAGCAGGAATCCGAACACTACCACCAATATCGGTACCGAACCCCGCCGGTGAACCACGGAGCCCAATTAGAGCCCCTTCTCCGCCAGAACTTCCACCACTCGATAGATGGCGATTCTTGGGATTCCACGTATAACCAATAATGTGATTTGTTGTCTCTCCGGACATGAGCGTGACGGGAACACTGGTTTTACAGAACAGCACAGCTCCGAGATTGCGAAGTTCCCGTACTAGTTCACTCTCTGCCACTCTATGGCGAGGATCGTCTTTTTTGCCCTGAAAGGTTCCGATCCAGCCCACGTAGCCCATGGTTGTGTCGACGCCTTTGACATGGAATTGGTCCTTCAGACTTACTGGAAGTCCATGCAACGGGCCTTTGGGTGTCCCTGTTGCTGCCAGATGCTCGTCGAGCTCCTTGGCAACACGAATGGCATCTTCGAAGAATACTTCATGTAGACAATTGACCTATGCTGAAATCAGCAGACATACCTCAAGGCAATAACCTTGACGTCTTGGTAACATACAAGTTGATGAGCAATAGCAGCTCTATGACAGAAAGCTTCCGTCACTTCGACAGCACTCCAACTTCCTGAGGTGGTTTGACTTGTGATCGCAATAGCATCGGATTCGGTAATCTCTATCTCACGAGGAGTCAAGTACCCCTGGATAAATTCACCCGTGACATCAACTGGTAGGGTGTCATACTGAATTCTCCATTTCTGGGGAATTGCGTTCAAAATAGCCTGGCGTTTAGCCTGGGCTGCCTTCTGCCAGGATGGCATTTCGGAATGCATAAATTCTTTAGGGTTGCTATTCTGTATGGGATGGGCGGTTGATGGATATACCAGCGCAACACAATTGACTCATCCACAGCGGCACATCATGCATGTCGGAGTCATCGGCCCGATACTGCTTAGTCATTCTTGTGTATACAAACACAACTGCCCTAGTATTATTATAGGGGAAGAAGCGATTCATGCGCGATTCATGCACAGAGCAACAGTTAAGAAAGGCGGTACAGTTCGAGACTGCTGCCTGCTTAACAGGCTTACAATAAAAATTGCCGAATTGGCCTCTCAGCATATTGACTGACCCCGTCCGTCTTAAGAAAAAGGAGCACCTTGAAAATGAGATCCCAGCCAAAAGCGTAGCTCACATAGTCTAGCGTATCTGCAGGGCTCAGAAGTGGCATATGAGAGATGATTTCCCATTTTGCGGAAATTTTCTTTTTCCCATAACCTCCCGCTTGGTGCAAAGCTCTATCTTGACATAACAAAGAGGAGCCGCGGAAGTGATTTATCACCCCTTGCAGACCGATGATCGGAAATGCCAATACATCGCGAACTTTACTACACCGAAACTTTTGGTCCATGCACATAGTAATATGATCGGGATAATTAGCATGGAAGCATATGGAAGGCAATTCTGTGCTCATCAGACATTAGTATAGATCACGACTCATAGAATTCTGGGTTCTACAATCACTTCAAAGACTAACGAGTGGCGTCATTGGCAAAGCAAGGGGTGTGTGGCAATCATCCATCAAGAGGTCAATATTTAGCAATCAGGATATAAGCGGACTATGCAGATCAGCGACGAGTTGTAACCTGGGTGCCATGGACAGTAGCTTTCCAAGTTCTAAGCATACCCAGGAGAATGCAATAACCTTGGTGGTCGGACTTTCTGCTTCGTGCATGTGGGCCTGCTTTTGGATCAGGTTTCCCTCGTTGTAGATCTCTCGGGCTCCCATTCGATTACATTTATAGATAATGTCCAGGTCAAGATATGAAAGATATCATCTCAGTTGGCAAGACTTTCAGGAGAATTTCTAAGCCTTTAGGGAATCAGGATCCGCACTGTGTAACCAGAGCCGATAACGTAAGTTTCTCTGTTCTCCTAGCAGGTTGCATCGTATGCCGTGTAATCATTAAGCCAATACAAATTCCATCTGCTACAACCAGTTACTACATGAGGAACGCTGCAGTTGCCGAGAGTTATCTTGTACATTTGGCCCAAGTTACTAATACCTAGACTGGAGCATATTATCTTTAATCCTTACTCATACGACCCTTGGCATAGTCTGATATTAAGAGACGCGCTCTACAGCGGAAGCAAGCGAAACGATGTAACAGGATACAGTAAAGGTATAGTCTATTCATGGGATATGATAGGAAGTAAGGGGAGCGATGCTCCTGTCCGAAACAGGAGGTCACAGTGGTGGTATATCTAACTTGAAATTGATATATCACATGCCTGGCTGAGATATGGTCTTATATTATAAGTGCTGACAACGCCGAAAGTCCCAGAGAATCAGGGTTTAAAGTACTGGCTGGAAGCCCAAAAGAGGCTATGAGGATGTCGCTGGCAACGCCACAAGAATGGGAGATTCCGGTCTCCCAAAGGGCATATCTGTCTAAGTCACATGGTGGACGTAAGTGGGAAGCTACCGTTGGGAGGATGTTCGGCTAAATCGGTTTAGGACTTGAGCTTGCCACAATTGACGTCCCCAAGTACCGTGTGGATGAGGTATTGGTCAAAATATTGTTTTCGGGAGTTTGTCATACCGATTTTCACGCGTGGAAAGGTCTGTAGTCTCTTTGGTTCTGCAATACATTGCTGACAAGCTACAGGACACTGGCCTGTGAAGCCAAAGAATAACCTCGTTGGTAAGTTAATTGAATGATTTCATCTGATCCACATTGTATGTGTAGCTTACCTTATCCAAAGGCGGCCACGAGGGGGTTGGCATAGTCGTGGCTCTTGGCAAGGATGTCAGGGATATCTCCATCGGTGACAAAGTCGGCATACAGGTGTGGATGCCACAAAGATATTTACCATAGGTGTATGCTCACAAATTGCTACAGTGGGTGAACAGGACCTGCGAAGTCTGTGGCTTCTGCTCTCGTGGTTCCCAACCACTATGTCCACATATCCAGCTTTCTGGATATACCGTTGACGGAACCTTCCAGCAGTATTGTGTGTGCAAAGCAGGGAACGCAGTCCGCATACCATCTGGCATGCCCCTCGACCAAGCTGCTCCAGTATGTACCAATACAGAGATGCTTCCTTTACCATCTTGCTGTTGACGATCTAACTTGGTTTCGAAGATATTGTGCGCTGGTCTCACGGTGTACAAAGCACTCAAAGAGTGCAAGCTCGAGCAAGGAGAGCTAGTCGGTATGGATGTCTTAATCTGAGATAATAATCGCTTATACTAACTCCTCCTAGCAATTGCAGGAGCAGGTGGAGGTCTTGGTACATTAGCGTGCCAGTTTGCAAAAGCATGCGGGTACCGCGTTCTGGCAATTTCAGCAGGCGAATCCAAGAGGAGAATGTGCGTCGAGAAATTGGGCGCCGACTACTTTGTCGACTACAAATCTTCATCAGACTTGGTCGAAGAGATCAAAGAAGGTACTGAAGGGGGGCCAAACGCAGTAATCGTCGTCAGTTCAACGACAAAGCCATTTGACGATGCTATTCACGTTCGTATTTCTATTAAAGCCTTCTACTGCAAGACCTAATCCAGAACAAATACAGTACGTCAAGCCAATGGGAACCATTGTTGCCGTCGGTTTGCCACCAGGCTGCATGAATGCAGACATATTTACGATCGTCCTTCGCAATATCACTATAAAAGGGAGTTACGTGGGTAATCGCCACGAGACAGAAGCAGCACTGGAAATAGCCTGCCGTTCAGGAATTATTCCGCCTTACAATGTTTTTGATGTACACGAGCTGCCGAAGGTGTATGAGCGTATGGAGACTGGTATGGAATCCGTTCTTTCAGGCGAAAATATGCTAACTCTATTCAGGAGAAATGGAAGGACGGGCCGTTCTTCGAATCGCAGACGATAAAGCACAATCTACTCCTGTCAGACTAACTACACAATTGAAACCGCGGTTCTGTCCTGAACAGTTCACTGTGGGCACCAGACTAGCCTACCGGTTGGAAGAGCTAGGAGTCACGGACTACTTTGCAGTACCTGGTATGTCAGAGGGGGCTAGGTCAGAGGCGCATGCTAACGCATGCTAACGTCAATAGGCGACTTCAACTTGGGCTTACTTGACGAGTTACTAAAAAATGGATCCATACGCACGATCGGATGCTGTACAGAGTTGAGCGCCGGATATGCTGCGGATGGCTACGCTCGGAGTTCGCCCGGTAAAGTCGCCGTTGTATTCGTGACGTTCATGGTTGGAGGTCTTTCATTGATCAACGCCATTGCTGGTGCATACTCAGAAGGCCTGAGAGTAGTGGTCATATCCGGCTGTCCGCCGCAGAAAGCGTTCGAAGACAAGCGATTGGTCCATCATACACTAGGCACAAATGACAAAGACCAAGCTTTGCGAATGTTCGACGAAGTCACGGCACTATCTGTACGTCTCTCAAGCTCGCAAAATCCTGCGGAGGCTCTCGATAGTGCGATCATCAAATGTTTGAACGCATCCCGTCCGGTGTACGTCGAAATACCTACAGATGTTGCCCAGGCGTCTTGCACACCCCCTGGACCTCTGCCCATCAACGGTTCTGAACTATTTGAGATGGACTACGCCCTCAATGCCGTTGACGCGGTTACGAATTGCTGGAACGGGGCGAAACAGCCTATTCTACTGGTTGGGGCCCATGTGCGCCAAACTGTTCTCCCTCACGTGTTGGTCTCCCTCATCGATAAACTCGGTTGCCCGGTTCTGGTCCAACCAGACGGCAAGTCTCTTGTACCTGAAGACCATCCTCAGTTTTTGGGAACTTTTTGGTCCAGTGCAAGCGATCACAAGAGTGAGAAAGTTTTCATGGATTCTGATTTATGGGTTATGGTTGGGTGTCGTTGGACTGACTACCACACCTTGGGCTGTCTCGATATTCGAAAAGAATCGCATCGTATCCTCGACCTCCAGGACGGATCTGTCACTATTCCAAGTGATGAGAGTTACACAGATATACCGCTCAATGAGTTGATTAAACTTATCGCCCGGTCTAAGATCCAACACAAAGGTACTGTGCAACCCAACGGGATAATCCCAACTGTCAAAGTCAAACGAGCAACTATAGATACCTCAAAGCTCTCGCTGTCCACCATCCTCGGTGGCATTCAAGAGGTGATAGGACCCGAAAATTCCGTCATCGCTGATACTGGTGATAGCTGGTTCAATGGGCAAATGATCAAGTTGCCCTGGGGAGCCGATTATCAGATGCAGATGGTGTATGGTTCAATTGGGTGGAGCCTTCCGGCCACTCTTGGTTATCAACTCGGCCGGCCAAATCAACGAGTCATCTTGATGATCGGGGACGGTAGCTTGCGCATGACGTTCCAGGAATTGAGCACCATGATCAGCCTTAGGCTCAATCCCATCATCTTCGTCTTTAATAATCTAGGATACGCAATAGAGGTGAGTTCAGGTGAAAAACATCCATAACAAGAATGGTTGTCTTACTATTTCTAGACCGCCATCCATGATGGGCCATATAACTATTACTCGAACTGGAATTATACCTCATTGGCAAATAGCCTCTGCAGCACTTTTCATGCCATCTACGATAACCCATATGTCGACCACAAACTCACGGAAACTTGTTCAGACCCTCCGATGTTTTCAGCGCAGATCAAAACCACTACAGACTTATTGATAGCCCTAAGACGTGCTGTGCATGAACCCAAGAAGCTTGCCTTCTTGGAGTGCTGCATCGATCCCAGCGACATCAGCTCCTCACTACAACGCTTTGGCTTGGCTGTTGGCACGAGGGGCAAAGAGGCCTAATATTGCGACACTAAGGACAGTTCATATTTCCCATGGTTCTTCTAAGACATTGGAATATGTTTGCACGTCTTTCGGCTAGTTTTCGCTGTTGGCATGTCAAATTTAAGGTCGACAATGATTTGAGAATATTTACAGGATTTTCTAGGATATATGGCGCAAACTGCAGAGCTATACATAGCACAGATATATAAACACTCACGATAGAATGACCGTAGAATAACAATATCATTCTTCATCGGATATCTTCATACTAGTTACTATAAATATACTCCATCTTGTCTGATTAAAGCAAGTGCAAGAGTTGTAGGTAACTATACATATAGACTAAGTAATTATATCTAGAGATCGATTCACAGGAAAGAAGGAATCAAGAAATTTTAAAGAAGCTAGAAGAAAGATAATCATACTTTTCTGCTACATCTGAATCTAGAAAGTAGTAATTAGTAAAGTCGTATAAGATAATGATTCTTTGCCTTATTATCATAATATTTCTTTCGATTATGAAAGGATATGGTAGTACATAACTAAAGCAATGGGTGTCATATTACATCGTGATTTTTATGAATATAATTACCATTGCGCTAGTTTATTATGAGAAATAATTAGTCTTATTAATTTCAGGACCATCTGCCACGTGATGATGAGCAGCTAATGGCATCACGTGGCTTTATTGTGGATGCTGTTTCTTATCTGATCAATGACATTGATAAGGATCTCCGCGTGGAACTTCTGTTTTGGGTCAACATGACTTCACATTCCTGGGCATGAATTTCCATTACTTAACTAGTCTCAATTATTTGGAATGGCCTTTTGATTTATAATTGCGTATATATCTGATCATTTAAGCTGGCTCGCACAGTTCGGGCAGATAGATTTGTACTTGATTCGGTTCGAGTAGCTAATTAGATAGTCAAACTTACATATATATATAGTTGTAAACTACTTATACTAATTGGAATTTGAAAACACAGTTACCAGCAGTGATGACCACCCAGAACTAGATAACACCGTACTTTGTCACTAGAACTCCTGCTTGATACCCATCTGCTAATTATAGTCACGCAATATCCAAAGAGGAGTGAATCGAGCGGTTATTGGCGGGCAGCGGCGCTCCCACCGGACCGGGTATCGGAGAGTCGGCGAGTCGGAGAAAAGAGTCACGGGGCGGGGTAACCTTGATAAGTTGATAAGAACCGCGGTTCCTGACGGAGCTCTTTGTTCTTTCCCATCTGCCACCAGTTCAACATGCCTTCCATCAAAGTCGCTGAATATCTCTTTCGTCGGCTCAAAGACCTGGGCGTAGCTTCCGTCCACGGTGTGCCCGGCGATTTCAACCTTACTCTGCTTGACTATGTGGAGCCGGCCGGTTTGCGATGGGTCGGTAATGCGAACGAGTTAAACGCCGCCTACGCCGCCGACGGGTACGCCAGAATCAAAGGCATTGGCGCCGTGATCACCACTTTCGGTGTCGGGGAGCTGTCTGCTGTCAATGCGATCGCAGGAGCCTACACTGAGCGGGCGCCTGTCGTGCACATTGTGGGAACACCAGCTCGGGACTTGCAGGAGGGGCGCAAATTGGTTCACCATACTTTCAACGATGGCGAATATGGGCGCTTCGCTAAGATCTATGAACACTTGACTATCGCCCAGGCCAGCTTGCGGGATCCACGCACTGCTCCAGCACAAATCGATGAAGTACTACGGCAGTGTCTCCTTCATAGCCGACCGGTCTATATCGAGGTGCCAATGGATATGGTGCACCAGTATGTGTCAGATGAAAGACTCGCGCTCGCCGTCAGCACGCCCGAGCCTGTTCCTTCCCAGACCCAAGATGATGTCGTGGCAAGAATTCTGGAACGCATCTATGCAGCAAAGCAACCGATTATTCTTGTCGATGGAGAAATTAGACCGATTGGCATTGTGGACGAGGTGCAGAAGATCATCAATGCTACAAACTTCCCGACGTGGGCCACCAATTTCGGGAAAGGATTGGTAGATAACACACGGCCAAACTTCCATGGAATCTACCGCGGTAACTACGACCCGACTGAAGTACAAGACTTCTACAATGGAGCAGACCTGGTATTGTGCTTTGGGCCACACTTCAGCTCCACCAATTCCTACTTCTACCAGATTATCCCGAAGCCTGAAGTTGCGATATTGTTCACCGATAACGAAGTCAAGTTTGGCACGGAGATTGTTCGGGACATTCCTGCCACGCTCACCACATCCCGTCTCATCCAGACCATCGACCTCGACAGAATCCATCGCTATGACCCTTATCCTAACCTGCCCCGTGATAAACTCGTCTCATTCTCCGAAGTGGAGGGAGATAAACCGATCTCCCAGGATAAACTGTGGCGAGTGTTTGCGAACTTCCTTCGTCCAGGCGACATCCTACTGGGAGAAACAGGCACGGCAGGATATGGTGTCCGTGAGATGGCGTTTCCCAAGCACACCCGCCTCTTCGCTCCTGTGACCTGGCTGTCCATCGGATACATGCTACCAGGAGCACAAGGTGCCGCTCTCGCGCAGGAGGAGCTGATGGCATCAAACAACTACCACGGCATCAAAGATGCACGCACGGTCCTTCTCATCGGCGACGGTAGCTTCCAGATGACCGCACAGGAAATGTCCACAATCATTCGACTGAAGCTGAATGTCGTAGTCTTCCTCATCAACAACGACGGATACACTATTGAGCGGTGCATCCACGGTCGGAAGCAGGGATACAACGACGTGTCGCGGTGGAGATATCTACAGGCCCCTAGCTTTTTCGGAGCGAGCGAAGATACATATACAGCTTCCGTTAAAACCTGGAAGGAGTTACAGGATGTTCTTTCGAACAATGTTGTTAGCAATGGGAAGGCGCTGCGGATGGTAGAGATCATGTTAGATCGGGAGGACGCTCCTATCGGACCTTTGTCGATTCTTATTGATCAGCAAAGAAAGACCGGTGCATAGGTAGAGTGATACACGAAGACTAATACGTGGAAATAAATCTAAACACTGTTGGAAGTGACAATTGAAAAGGATTGTACATAGTCTCATTGCTGTGTCGCTACACTTAAACTTGACCACGCACATCACAATGCTCTAAGACTTCTCTAGGGATCCAGCCCTTCACTCGATACCACTAGATCCTATGTAGCCTTCAAGACTCCCCACCCACCATCATATCTCTATCATCCCATCCACCCTACCCAGGCAACTCCGCCACATTCCAATTCGTCGGCAGCTCCGATATCTCATTCCCAACCGCGACCAACTCGACCCACTCCTGCTCATGTCCCGGAGCCTCCACAATACCACACCCAGCAGTCGGCAGCTCCGCCTTCCCAAACACACCCCAGGCAGTATCTTCCTCACCCTCTGATGATGCTGGCTGATCAGCAGATCTCTTCCGTTTCCGCCAGAACATAACACCGGCAATCAAAGCACCAGCCACAACAAGAAGCACGATGGGGGCTGCTATCCACGCCAATGGGCTCTTGAAATGCTCTTCAGGATGTGGCCCCGTTCGTTCTGTGGCAGATGCAGTAGGATCCGCAACCGCCGTAGACACACCAACCGATCTGGACAGTTTCTCCAACCCAGCTGTGATTGGAATAGACATATACGCTAGAGCTGACACCGTCCTCGAATAGGTAGACGTATAAGGGAACGTGGAGGCGTCAGAGGACTCCCAAGCATAGTCTGTAGTCGTGCAGGAAGCGTTGAAGGATGCTGTAATGTCGCATCGAACCACATACGTATGGATCGCGTATTGGATCACCATCGATGTGGTAGACTTCAGACGATGGGTTAAGGGAATGACTGAGTCGACGCTGGTGAGAGTGAGTTCTGCAGTTGACGGGCTATTCGTTGCTGATACTGGCACTGTGATGAGACAGTTGCCGAGCTTGCTGCTTTGGCAGTTGAAGATGGCAGTGGTTTGGTTGGTTGTGGCGTTCACGTTGAGGATGCTGGCGCCTAGGTTGTCGAGGTGGGTGGTGTTGCTGGTGCGGAGGATGATGAAGTAGGTTGTTGTTGTTGTTGCTGCTGCTGTTGACGATGATGACGATGATGATACCGTTGATAATAATAAAGGAGGCCTAGTCATGGTCGTTGGTGGGATGACTGTGGTAGAGTTCATTGTTGACTTCAGTAGACGTGGTGCCTGTGTTGTCCGTGTTATTGCTAGGCTAGTTGGTAGTGAGGTCCAGGAAGAGTCCATGGTTGAGTCGGCCATGCATAGGGCTAGAAGGATGGCCACTAGGGCGAGATAGAACTTATAAACACGCATCATGGTGGATTACTTTCTCTTCCAAGAGTGGTGTTGCAAAGTGCGAACTGAAAATTCTAAGATACAATTTGAGATATGTAGAGAAGATCGAGGAATGGGCTTCAGACGGTCCTTTTATAGATTTAGAATTGAGTTGGTTATTCACTTCAACTACGTGCATCAGGACGCATAGCCGTTAATACGGGGCTATCACTCCAATCATACATGCACCAGGACGCGCAGTCGTTAATACGGGCCCGCCGTCACTTTTATGCATCTAGGATGAATGGATGATATGGTACCGTGTTAACCTGAAGGATCAATTCACATGCATGCTATGATTTACCTCTAGCAAGAACAAAGAGTTAACATGGAGGAATGCATGGATTCATGGCAACCTGGAAGCCATAAAGCGTTCAAGCTTAGCCAGACAACCATCTCCGTTCGCAAGATAGGAGCAGGCAGGGACATCCTCAACATGCTGGTACAACGCAGATAGTTGCCAGAACTGCCTCTCACAGTCTGGACACTCATACTGCCAGTCTCCATCTGTTCCAACAATATACTTCCTGCTCTGGTAACACTCCGTCGCTAAATCATCAATCGTCTCTTCCGAAACCCCCGATTGACAGGCCCCTGATTCCAGATGAATTAGCATCCCGGAAAATGACCTGAAGCGATGATAGCAGCCATAGCATTCCACGTCCATGGGTTGGTGCTTCTGCCGATGCTGGAAAGAATTAAACTATCAGAACCTTGCACACAACAACAATAGGGTCGCTCAGCTTACCATTCTTAGATTGTTTTCGTTGCCGAAGTATCTGTCGCAGATATTGCAATAATGGTGGACAGAGATATCATGGCTTAGGACATCCTCAGCAGACTTGAGAAAAATGTTGCACTCAAGACAAGCATTATGATAATCCACCAGATGGTCTCGAAGATCTTCATTCGTTTCAAAGTCTATTGGTTCGCGACAGGAACGACAAAGGTTATGTCTCTTGGATGCTCGGATGTGTGTATTCTACGAGTCTTCTGAGACAAATACCCGACGACATCTCTCACACCATTCATGTCGTGTGGTTGCTCTGCAATGGGCGAAAAGCGCACCTTCAGTCCTGAACCATCTGTCACAGATAGTACAGATGTAGTCTTCACCGTCGTATTCGAGATATGGTCCCAAGTCGCCCATGTCGCTGATCTGTGATAGTCCAAATTAATAGTACAAGTCTGCAAAGTGATAGAGTGTAGTTTGAAGAGATACAACAGTTGGATCAAGAATTAAAACATTTAAACCTGTGGTGGATTTACGGCGGCTAATTCCGGACCTGTGAATCCTCCACACCCTCGAGACGCCGGGATAACCCCTTGATTGTGCCCCAATGCTATATATGGAACAATTACCTCTCAGCCGGCGCTTAATTACTCTGTGCAGACATGTGCGGCGGCTAAATCATAGGGTGAGTGCTGTTTCTAAAAATTCACAGGGGCGACTAGCCCTTCCATTGATATTGTGGAGTTGGCTAAGCCTTACATTAACAGGTTTGACGCTGTGATGGCCAAATTTGTGAATTACTGGAAGTAAGTAGTCTGTGGGGCTGTAATTTCACTTGCACTCAGGGAGGAACTCATACAAGTGGAACACTGTTACATTTAGCAATTATCTCAGCCTCTGCCTACTATGAGCCATAATATGCTTCAGTCTGATTGCTATTCAGATGTATGGTAAGCCTATCACACAGCACTACTGCATAAGCAATACCTTTGTTTGATATGCATATATCAGCACCCAGTAGACTAGGCAGAATGTACAAAAGTGACATCCGGATACGCCGCGGATGGGCCACTCAGTAGATCCGGCGTGTGTCCAGAGGTAAAGTACTGCAACGCAGCAACCATGTATGAGACAATCACATTCTTCGCCCGCAAAGCGCCAATCGTTCCAAGATAAGTTTCCTGAGCAATTTCTTTTAGTTCGTCAGAGATACTCAGAGAATCCACCAGTACCGGTAAGTCGGAAAAGGAATAGTGCTTAGACTGTGCGAGTCGTAGCTCCATTCTCCATCCTCGTAGATTCGACCAGAATGTTCCCCAGCTAGGATCTGTTTCCGCAGTGTGGTTCGCATTACTGAACATTAGGAATGGCCGTGATAACCCTTCTTTGAGGACGGATCCCCAGAATGAACCGTCCAAATTGATGCCTCCGACAAATCGGTTGTCAACCAACATTGTCTGTGCAGCTGTTGCTCCACCGAGGGAATGACCGGTAATTGATACTCGGTCGAGAGAGAGTAGGTCTGGGTTTTTGAGTGACAAGGGGAATATATCTCTGACGGCTGTCTCGTTGTGAGTCTGGTTGTAAACAAACATCATGTCTTGGACGCGAACGTTCATTGCCCAAGTGAACTGTGCATCTGTTGTAGTGTTGTCGAGGACACCGAAGATCGCACTACCATCGGGAAATTCCACGATATTGGCATCATACGGATGATCGACGGAGATGACTGCAAATCCGTGACTGGAAATGTCTTGAAGCAGCGAGGTGTACATCAATCTTGATACTCCCAGGGCCGGTGAAAAGAGAACGATTGGGTAATTTTCGTTGACACTGGAGGAAACTGACTCTTGCTGTGTCTGAATGCGAAAGGATTCGAACGTTCCTGCAGGTAGCCCGAAAGATTGGAATGTCTCATCTTCATATGCTGCTGTTGCATTTGGCATGTAGGATTCAGAGAGCACACTCCCACAGTTGAAGGGTGTAAAGGTCGTGACCATGAGGGCACGTTTCCCCCCTTTTGGGTTGAATGGATTGGTTCGAGACCAGTCGACTAGTTCACTGGCCTTGAGCGTGACGTCGCATGGCCCAGTGCCAGGAGGAAGAGGAATGGTTGCTGCTTGGCCGAGACCGAGAAGCAAAAGGCTAGTGCATAGGATGGCAGTAATCATTTTAGCAGCTTTTGACGATGAAGATAGATAACAACAGATGAGCCTGATGAAATTGTCATGATGAACAGCAGCAAAGCGCCCGTACTTATAGTTGCGATGTTGCATACATTGCTGGCGATAGATATCTACTTTCGGTATCCGAATGCTTGGTTTGCCCGGTTGTGGAGCACTGAGTCCCGTGGTGGATGATTGGTGTGTGATGATTTTGCCCGATGGAGGTTCTTTGACCATATGGCAGCTTAGAGGAGACTTTTATTGGCGATAGTCTTGAGCTATATCATGATAAATCTGCTCATTTGTAATGTACTGTAACACAAGAGATGGATCATGTACCTGCTAACCACATGGTAGTATATTACTGAGTAGTATAATCTTAAAGAAAGTGACTGAGGTTGAACGGGGCAGTATGAGACACCAACTAACTATAGCTCCGTAAGTAACGAAGGAAGACTAGCAATAAGCATCCCGCTTGATTCTAGTCGAACAGCAATAGCAAATGCGGCATTTTAGTGAATCAAAGCGGGACGCCTAACGGATGTCCGTGACAGATTCCTCTAATGTACATCATCATTGGCACAGCAAGAGGGAACAAATCCCTCATTGAGGGACAATATCCTTATCTCCAACAGGGAGTCTAAGCCGCTTCTGAATATGCCATCCCCTGACGATCCGATAAACACCATACATGCAGCGTCCTAGGGCTCAAAACACTGACAGAGACGAACAGCCAGCAAATCATCAAAATTGCTTTACCCGAACCTAACCCCATATATCTGCATAGATACTGTCACCATAAGTCCTAACTATAGTCTTTCTTCCATCTGCGAACTCAATATGTGAGTGTATGCGCGAATTATTGTTCTGAAAATGAGATCGCTTGAATGCCCGAGCCAAGCTGACCCGACTTATCCGAGCGCTACCCCAGATTGTACTAGCTTTGCGGTGGCCATTGAAATCTACAGATGTGGTAACTCACAAGACCTGTGCTGTGGCATAGGCAAGATCTCGCCTTTGGCACCATGCTTGTTTTTTATGAGAGATTTTCACACAAGTGCGACGTACGAAGAGCCCTTGTCTTTAAGGTTTCTTGTTTATTGGGCTATCCGAGGTCGACTAACAATTTCCCAGTCGAAGTGGAAGCTAAGATCACACTGAGTCTATCACACGCATAGAGAAAAATACTCGACAGTTTCATCTCATTCTCTGCTTATCGTTACATTTTGTCAACCCATCTCACTCACCCTTCGCATACTTAGGCACCTCCTCGCCCTCACGCCAGAAATACTTTGCGCCCGGATGCGACTCAGGCAATCTCGTCTGTCCCTTCTGCTCCGTCATATTCTCGCGCATCGTGCCGCCCTTCACTGCATAATCCGTGTGGAAGATCCCGCGGGCCTGCAGCTCGGGCACGAGATACTGGATAATGTCATCAAACGTCTCAGGAATGCTGGCATAGCTGAGATTGAACCCATCCACGTCCGCAACCTCCACCCACCTCTCCAACTCATCCGCGACTGTTTTGGGCCCACCGATAATCTTGCTCCCATTGCCGCCCATAATCAAATAATCCGCAATCGTCTTCTTATTCCACTTCTTCCCCTCCATCCCGGGCACCGTACTGGCCCAGTGATTAACCATACTCCGCACCGCCGGCTGCTCCACGAATCGGAAATCCTGTTCATCATCGTATGTCGACAGATCATACCCAGACCAGCCTCCAAACAGCGCCAACGCGCCCTCGCGATCGCCATACCTGGCATACTCCTCGAACTTGGCCTGCGCGGCCTCATCTGTCTCCGCAACAATCACCAACACACCCGCGACAATCTTAATCCCCGCAGGATCGCGTCCCAGCGCCTTCGCCTGCTCCCGCACACTATCAACACTCGGCCTGACCAGCTCAGGCGTCTGTCCATTCAAAAAGATCGCCTCGGCATGTTTCGCCGCGAAAGCCTTACCCGCCGACGACGTACCAGCCTGCAACAAGAACGGCGTCCTCTGCGGACTTGGCTCACACAGGTGTGGCCCGGGGACATTGAAGTATTTCCCCTTGTGATGAATCTGTCTCACAGCCTTAGGGTCCGCATACCCCTTCACCCCATCGCGATCATCCCCCTTATACACAGCTCCATCACGCCATGACCCCTCCCACAATTTATACGTCACATCGAGATACTCATCCGCAATGCGATACCGCTCATCATGCTCAATCTGCGTATTCAATCCGAAGTTCCTTGCCGCAGACTCCAAGTATGACGTGACAATGTTCCATCCCACTCGACCATTCGATAGATGGTCAACAGTAGAGAAGCGTCTCGCCATCGCGTACGGCGCATCATATGTCGTCGACGCAGTCACACCGAAAGCAATCGTCTCAGTAGCAGCCGCCATAGCGGGGATACTGTATAGCGGATCATTGATAGGGAACTGCGCGCCCGCAGGGATAGTCGGGTCGAGGTTCGCGGGCCCCTTGTAGACGTCGTAGCCGCCGAGCACGTCGGCGAAGAATATGGCATGGAATTTGGCCGCCTCGAGCTTCTGTGCGACGCGGATCCAACTCTGCAGGGAGGTGTATTTGTGGCCTTGGTCTTTGGGGTAGCGGTGCAGGCCCGGGTTCAGGTGCGAGGGCGATTGCATGGCGAAGGCATTGAGGATGAGTTGTTTTTTCTCGGCGGAGCCCATGTTGCAATACTTGATGAGTTAATCAGGATGGTCGATCTTGAGTGAGGGAACTGGAAGAATATTGATAGTATTGTTTCAGTGTCAACAGGCCAGGGCGTGAGTTTATAAAGCGTCGCACAGTGGGTATCTGGTATGTGTATTGTGCAACTTGCACTAATTTCTCCCGTGTCAGTATAGCTCGTGATAGCAATGCCCCTCAGTTGTATTACTCGGACGAGAAGGTATGCTCGTGGCTGTGATTTGCGGGTTGTATGCGAGGCCAAGGGGAAGACGTGCGATTGCCGCGTGATTGCGCCAGATGCGGTGGTGATGGTGCCAACTGTAGTAGTCTCGGGAGTGAGGGGAAGGAGGGGTAGAGGTGCTGGTGTAACTGCGGTTGTAGCTGTTAGTCAGTATCTGATAAGAGATTTGTGTGATATTTGTTCTGACTTTGGATTCGGTTACGATGTTGTTGGGTTTGGTGGTTACTTTGTAGTATAGAATAGTTAAGGAATAGTAGGTTTGGTTGTAGGGTTGGATATGCTGTCCGGTACACATCAGAGATAGTCAACAATTTTATTTTCC